TTAATCATGATGTGACATTTTACAAGGTGGTGACGTGACAATGGTGAGGTTATCCTTAAAAGAGATCCGTTGCTTTACTCTTCGTCCCTCCTCCTCTTGTGGCCCAAATTGCTCATTTGGAGGATTGTTGATCAGGTTGTGCAAATGACTCAGCTGGGCTGATAGGACCACTTCTTTGCAAGTTCATAATGTCTGTAATATGAAAAAGGACATACCACTAACCTAAATATGACAAGACTGAGACTGACACGAACTTTAAATTAATCATAGGAGGAGTGGACGATTTCTTGTTACAAAACAAGAGCATCTAAGTCTGCCCGGCAACAAAAATCTTCCACCGTAATACCTTCCTACTAGGCCACGTTTGAGATTTCATTTGACTGTGTTTGGGACTTGAAAATCAATAAGAAATTAAATACAGCACCAAAAAAAAAAAAAATGGGTACCATATCATTTATCTTTTTTTTTTTTTTTTGTAAAAATGCTACACACGACACTTTTTTATATCATTTTTGTGCATCACCTCAATATAAATCATTAAATTAGTATGTCTTACAAAGTTTATTAAATTTCCGATGACTCTAATTGTATCACATAGGTGGTGTAAGATAAGTGGTGCACAAAGGTGGTGTCAGCAACATTATTCTTGTTTTAGTATTTATATGATATTTTTGATGAAGTTTATTTATTTTTGAGATGAATATACTTTTTGGGCTCACTTATCATTTTTTTGGAATAAATTTTACTACGTTTTAAAGTAATTTTTACTTATTGGTATGATACCAAATTTTACTTTTCAATAGGACATTTTTTTACAAACAATAATGATCACCATCTACAAAAAAAGAAAAAATTTTTTTTTTATAGAATAATATTACATGAACTTAGAAAATAGACTTAATATTTGTTGATTTTGCACAAAACATTCCAAATTTTTGGCCTTGTTATCATATTCTACCACCGGAAAATTGCATAGTATAACATTTATATGAACAGGCTGTCATGAAGATTAACACATTAGACATCTATTTGTAATAGATTTGTTCTATATTCCCATATTGAATTCCTTTTTCTTATTTGTTTATTGGCTTTCCTTGCAACTCATATAACTAATCCGACCCTACAATACGTCATCTATTTCGGTTCAGAAATTTGTCTCTTCAAAACAAATTTCCAATCAGGAATCACAACACAAACGGACAACCAAACAGAAATAAAACGGTGAACCACATTACAACATTTTTATTTTTTGGAGGGGATAATGTGAAAAAACAAATCATTCGGGGGACAAATTAAAGATTTTAATATCTTTCATTGGACAAAATGGGATTGACCCAAATTTATATCTCCAACATGGATAGCTGGCCTCTTTCTCAATCTATTGTCACCCTCCCAACTCAAATTCTCATGAAATCAAGGTATGACTCACCATCAAGTTTTCTTGCAAAAAATTCCTTCAAATACTATTCAAAGGGGACTTGTCAAAAAACTGCTGGGTGATGGGGTCCAATAAGGCTGTGTGCAGACCCCAGTTGTGAGTGTAGGTTGGACCTGCAGAATGTTGCAATGGACAGCCTTTTTTTGGTTGAGTTAACTGTTGCTCTGTGCTCAATGCTCCTATACACACCATTGCTCACAATCTGTCAAGGCACAGGACAAATTTCATGTTATCAAATTTCTACTTTGATTACACCCTACGAATACAATGTCTGATTCTCAGGTTTCACAACTTGGATTAGAATTCAGAGTCAATCCCAGTTATGCTCGATTAAACTTATTTAGGTTAAGTTTCAAAAACCCGTTCCCTCAATCTGAGTATTACCCAATTTTGAATAAACCCAATTCCACTTATTCTGATTGAGTATCAAAAAAACTTTCATCGCAATTCAAGTATTGTCGAATTTAATTAAACCCCATTTTTTGCTTATTTGGGTTAGGTCTGAAAAACTTGATCTCTCAATCCGATTATTGCCCAAATTTAGTTATTCTTTTGCTTTTTTTTTAGTCCAAAATTCACCCAAGTATCAAAAATTACTACTCAAACACTAATATTTCGGATTGGGTTAGGACTGACTCGGCCTGATTTCACTTCGAATTTCAAGCTATATTATTTATAGAGTAAATATTGCCTCCATATTTCACCAACGTTGACTACAAAAGCGTTGGGAAGTGGTTTTATAGGCACCCATTTCCCATCTTTCCTAATCTGGAGGCCCTCCGTTTCATTGAGCTGAAAAAGAATTGTTAGGGCATCTGCATCAGAGTGAGGAGTGATGCCAATGGCCATATCTCGCTGTGGGCATGGAGGCTTGTAATTCATTCTTATTGTTTGGACCCTATCAGTGAATAGTTCTGTGATCTCCTCATCATCCATCTTTATAGCCTTGGCCATTTGCCTCAAGATGGTCATGGCTAGCTTTTTCACTTCTATTGAGTAAGCTTCCATCGTCTCTCTGCAAATTACCATGAAGCTGAAATCACATTATCTATAATAAAACAATTTCCTTTGGCAATTTCAATCTTTGGTGGAACGACTTTATCTCAAACTTTAGATGCACCCAATTATCCACCAATGAAGCTCATCTGTTAAACAAAATTAGGAAAGAGTAATTTGAGCTCAGATGTGCGAGTTTATGTCACATCTGTTTTTCAATCACTGAACGAATCCGTGGTGGTTGCATAAAACCGTTCTTGTTCAAAGAGAACACTACAAACACACCCACATTATTGGCAGAATGTCCATCAAGTGTCTCTCAGAGAGAGAGAGAGAGAGAGAGAGGGAGAGAGGGACCTGAGCTTTGGAGGTAACTTTTCAAACAATTGGGTCTTCCTTAGAGTGGGCGGAAGGGTGGTTATGTAGAACATGTCTGACCAATCAAGCTTCTGCTGCTCTGATACAACATAGAGCTGGCCAAACCCTTCATGGTTGTCGGGTTGTTGCCATAGCTTTGTTTTTTCTTCCAAAGGTTGTTGGAAGAAATTAACAATCTCTCTCTTCAAGTCCTCTAACAGTGAAGCACTCACTCCATGGTTTATAACCTGCATAACAAACCAGAAAAAACTCTAAATTTTTTGACCCAATTCGTTAATCTAATTCATTCTCTTTGTTATATTAGCTGGGGACCCAATGTTCAATAGAATGCATTGTCAATCCAATAACTGATGTTATTACATCATCCGTTTATGTTATTAAGTTTGGTCCAAATAATATTTTGATAAAATCTTTCAATGCATGTAGAGCCTCTATTCATACACTGTGCCATAAAAAAAAACCCAAAATGATAACGTTCAACTAGTACGTCCCTATTGTCATTTAGACACAAACAAGAAGTAGGGAACGACCCTGCTAAAATAAATCAAATTGGTTGGATGAGCTTAGCAATTAAGGTTTAATAGAGCTCTTAAATTATAAAGGTTGCAAATCGAATCAAATTGATCTGTTTCTGGTCAATTTTCAGGACCAACTGAAACAATGATCATGCAGGATTTATTCATTTGATTAATAACTTTTTTAAGTCATTTCTTTTCATCAGAATTATTATAAATATAGGCACCTAATAAACATATACGAATTTACGTAAACACCAGCAACCAAACTTTTCAGTCTTGTAGCCCATCTAGAGATGGGCTATTCTGGATAGGCCATTCAGCCCCGAATGTCGGGCTAGCTAGAGGTCCGACGCACCTGCCAGACTATTTGGCTCACAAACAACTTGCGAAGGGGTCTTTCTAAACTTCGCAAAGAAAGATTCTTAAAATCCCATTCGCATACCACTCTCAATCCGATGAGAGAAAGGAAAAATAAATTCTTGCACCAAATAGTATCTGTTTGTAAAGAATGTGTGAGCAACCCATGAAAGTGCACTGAGAAGTAGTGCATTTATTATCTCCTTTAGAATCGGTAAATCATAAGGCTAGACAATGAGAAGTATATGCCTTAACTAGTGGGTAAAATAAAGAAAAAAACACACTTCTTCTCTTTTTGGGCACTAATGTGTGTGGTGTACTTCTATTCACGTAATAGACTAGTGCTATCAATTTGTTCATCCTTTTCACATGCATCCGACTCGGTATAGAAATGTCAGTCTCCAAAACATTCGAGCATATCCTTTTTTGAGTAGTTGCAAGTGAGCCTAAGGTCCTACCCATCTGCCAGACTATTCGGCTCACAAACACCTCCTGAATTTGAATACGATCCATTTGGGTAGTATGCGAATGTCCATCTGGGCGAAATCATCGGTCAGGCCTTGGGCCAACCTTTTAAGACTGGGTCGATACAGTCTGTTGCGTATTGAAAGTACGGTCGGACCGTTAACTGCTAGGTCCGGCCAGCCCGTGGATGACCCTTAAAATTACATCTCAAAAATTAATAATAACAAACCGTATCATATTCATGATCAACGCCATTGAAATTTAATTTTGGCGGTGGGATCTAAAATTAAATGGCCCCCCACCAATCTGTCAATAACATATTAACATTACATCAAAATCCAATACAACGCATAATATAACAAGGTATGCAGGTAAACCTACCAGCGGGCCCCATTAATAGGATCGAATTTACTATTAATTCAATAGTAATGATTTATTAGATCAATAACTGAAGCCAAAATGAATTAATATGAGCTTATAATTAAACTAATAATAATAATAAATTAAATGCGTAGATCAACTTAGGCCAAGTGGCGTTACTCACGTACTAAATACCAAGGTTTGAGTTAAGATTGTGTTTGGCAATATCACCAACAATGACAGAAAGCTAACCTGGAAAAAACTCCATTCTCTACAAGCTGAGTGATGCCTCTCCAGTTCAGAATGCACAGTCTCTCCAACGATTAAGTTGTGTACATCGATGATGGGTACCGACTGCATCGACATGCCAGTGGATATGATCGGAGGAGGCTCCCAATCATCTCGGCTAACGTATCAAGGTGGGATCTGTGTGATGGGTTGTTTGGCCTGCCCTTGGACGCTAGACACTATCAGTGATTTTCCAAAAATTACTGCTACTTCTTCTGGAGATGACTCCATGGACTCAAACTATCAGGTTGAGGAAGAAGATAAGGTTTTTTTTTTTTGAACTGAAGAAGAAAAGGTTTTGGTGGAGACAAACAAAGGAGAATCTTGCTTTTCTTTGAACAGCACCTTTTGACTTGCTTTCCTCTACCCCCAAAAATTTAGGATGCGTCTTGGGACGGTTGAAAAGTCATCCAATTTTCAGTATTAAATTTTTAACTTTAATTCCATTTCTAATCCGACCTCAATTCAAAGTATTCAATCCGAGTATTATTTAAGTTAAATTTGGACAAGTTGAGTTTGTTTATGTCCGAAATTAAAATGTTATTCTAAATTTAGTACATACTATACAATATTTACTTGAAGTAACAATCAATAACTTCAATTAAATATTTAATATAAATACTATAGTATTTAAAATATAAAAAATCATATTGGAAAAAAAATCAAATTACACTTTTTCTTAAAATAATGACTAATATAGCCAAATTAATATAAAAAGCATACTGAACTTAATGTTTAACTATAATATTCAAATTGGGCCCAATAAAATATTCGGGTTGAATCTAAATGTATAATTGGGTTAAACCCAGGTATCGTGGCATCAATTTAGGTATTGTCTAAATTTAATTCGGGTTGATGTTTTTAACCCAAGCCTAACCCAATCCCTTTTTTTTTTTTGGTTGAATTTGGGTTGGCTTGCCTAAGTTGCAACCTACCAAAAATTTTTCATGCACTAGTTGTATTTGGGTCAAATTGAATTTATTATTCTTAACGGATTAAGACATGAATCTTGAAAATAAAATCTATTGGATAATTGAATCGAACTTTTAAAATAAAATCTGAATTCAGACTAGCAAAATTCACTTCAACTCTGATCCATTTGTTGGTTTTTTTTTATGGAGTTTAGTTTATATATGCGATCCGGATGATGACCAGACCCGAAATAATGTTGTGTGGTTTTTAATGGAAAATTTTCTGAGGCTTAGTCCATGGAGCGAAGGCTTGGGCCGATAGTAGTGGGAATCTAAAATTACAGTCATTTCATATGATCTGATTGGAAATGTACAAAGCGAAGAGAATGGTGGAGATGATGAAAAAGAGGGGAGACAAATAAACAAGAGACTACTTTATTGTCAAAAAAAATTTGGTACTGTATTTGCAAAATTGAGTAAATTACATATATAATCCTCAAATTATAAACTTGTATCAATTAAATCCTTGAATTTTTTTTATGTCAATTGAGCTTCTGAACTCTCGGATTGTGTCAATTGTGCCTTTTTGTCTGCGTTTGTTAGAGTGTGCCACTCACGTGACAATATGACACAAAAAGTTAGAAGGGCTTAATTAATACAATTAGAGAGTTCGAAAGTTCAATTAACAAAAAAAAGTACAAGGGTTTAATTGACATAAAAATCATAATTTGAGGACCATGTGTGTAGTTTACTATAACTCATACATTTTGCCACTTTCATTAGAAAATCTAACGGAGGCAGACAAAAGGGATTAATTGACACAATTGGAGAGTTCAGGGGCTCAATTGACACACAAAAGAAGTTTAGGGGTTTAATTGATACAAGGGGTCATAGTTTGAGAGCCATATTTGTAATTCACTCTCCAAAATTTATAAGTTTTGTAGGCTGAAATTATTACAAGTTTTTGAGTTTGTTTACAACAAAAATAATTTACAACTTTTGAGGTCTTATTACAATTTTTATAGTCCAAGTTACAATTTTGTGGGATTATTTATAATTTTTGAGGGTTACTTCTAAATGATCCTAAAAATTTATGATCTATCGCAAGTAGCCTTCAAAAGTTGTAAATGATTTTTAGGATCAATCTTAGGTGATCCTAAAGTTGTAAATAATCCTCAAAAGTTTTAAATAATTCACAAAAGTTATAAATGACCTTTAAATTTTAGGGGTTTTTCACACTTTTTACGCTAAAAGATTTCAAATTTTCTACTTTGTACCTTCAAAAATTAAATTTTTTATATTGCACACTCAATGTATTAAAAGTGTTACAATGTAGTCCTTCTATTAGCTTCTGTTACTTTTTCTGTCAAAAACCAATCTATTAATAAATTTAATCTTTTAGGGTGTAAAATAAAAATTTTAGAATCTTTTAAGATTCAAAGTGCAATTCACCCCCAAATTTTATAAAAAAAAACCCACAAATAAAGCTTATAAATGTGGGGATTAGATAAATCCTTATACGTGGGTGTTAGATAAAACTCATCTATAATATAAAATATGACATGTTTCAATAAATTTATCCGACGATTTCAAATAGATTCATCTAACGGCCACTAACATATTTCTCAAAATTATTCACATTGCGCCATCCCTTCATGCACGAGATACCCTCAGTAAAACCTATCAAACCAAACAAACTTTATATGAATCCTTTTCTGATTCAAAATACATCTAATACCCTTTCTTTCTTCGGTTTATCTCACATAGAAAGCACAAGGTGGTCAGATCAGGTCGTGCTTGTGGTAGATTGGGCTTGCGCTTACAACGGCTTGGGGTGATTCATTGGTTTAACGAAGGCCCAAGGTGGTCAGGTGGTGCTTGTAGTAGCTTGGGCTATTAACACAAGTAGTAAATAAATAGCATAATCTATTAACACGAGTAATATATAAATGACTAGGGCTAATCTGAATCTGAAAATAAGATGTAATGTAAGTGAGAAGTGATGAGTTTGGAGGAGGAGGGGGAGAGGGAATTCAATGTGAATAGTTTCGAGAGCGATATTGGTGGCCGTTGGATTAAATGACATTACAAGAAGAAAGAGATTTTTGTTTTTTATGATTTTGGTACGTGTGACCAACATAAATGATGATTTATACAATTGAGCGGAGCGTGAATGATTCATGTAATCAACCTTGAATAGTAGATACAAAGCATTGGTTTTTTTTTTTTTTGGTTCAACAGTCAAGAGTGTTCGGGTCAGTTTACACGCACTTCAACTAATCATCTTCTCGATTTGATCAATTATAAGCCATCTATGCCGGTCAAAAGCTTTGTGAGAGTATCAATTGGTTTGATTAGTGATAAGGCTTCCTAGTGGCCCCAAATCTGTATCTAATTTTGGGCTAAGAAAGTCTCAGTCTCTGAATGCACAACTACAACGTTGAATACTATGGTAAACTCCATTGCCACAATTTGCAAAATATATCAACGAAAAATAGTAGGATTAGAAGTGGTAATTTTCGACATGACAGTTTAAAATGATATAAATCCAACAAAAAATCAGTGGGTTATGATGGACTAGTTCTCGTAAACTCTGAAATAAAATGAGTCGCTAACACGAATCATGAATAAATCGGATTAGTATCGGACACAAATAATCAAATTCTAACAAGACAACTAAATGAACTTATGAAGTTTTTCGATCTTTTCATTTTCTTCATTTGGTAGACTGTTATAGTCATGTGGGTAGACTGTTATAATCATGTGTTTTCGGTTCACGATTTTCAGTGTCATCCAACCCACAAGATTAATAACAATGCACGTTAGTACCATGACATAAGATAGACTGCTAATATGTTACTGTTTAAAGATTAACTAATCCTCGATATTAATCCAAAATAACACAACATGACTATATTTTAATCCGAAATTACAACATGCATTCCAATATTCTGATAAAAGATGTCCAGTAGTACTATAGTACAACATTTAATCCAACATTTTATGCAAACATTATTGCCGATTATATATTGAAAGGAGGGACATATATAATGTAACCGAACTAAATAGTCGAGATAAGACTTGATTGAGTTATTGGAGGTATATGTGTCGAGCTCCAATGCCGATTCCAATAGTTGAATGGTACTTAATATTTTTGCCCATCTTTTTCAATCCTCATGATATCCAAATATGATTTTCCCTCAAGCTTGCGAGAATAATATCCCCTGAAGAAATCTGCAACACCAATCCTTTTGAATAATGCTGGTGTTTGTTCATTGATAAGGCTTGGAGCTGGTCCTAGATCTCCATCTAATTTTGGGCTAAGAAAAGCGGCGATGGAAAGCCTCTCTTTCTTTGAATTCACTACTGCTCGATGCTCAATACTGCGGTAAATTCCATTTGTCACAATCTGCAAAAATATGTGTCAACAAACGTATAACAAATCGATCGGATTACTGTTAACAATGAACAACATGACAAAATAAACCCGCTTAATTGGTATTACAGAAAGAAAATGTTTGTTTTTTTTTATTCTTTGTTCTGGCATTGTGTGAATCCTTGTATTTTTTCCTTGATTTAACCAGCATTTAGATCAAGTGAATTGCTAGTTTATTGGAGACTTGTAAGTGGTTAGTTTAATTGAAACGAAAAGAGGGTACCGGTCCTAGGTTTCTGATTCACTGTTATCCATATATGCTCACGAACATGACATACTGATTAAACAAATGATGTTAGGGTTAACAAATAGCTGACAAATAGCCAAAATGACCCGACAACATTTGACTGACGTGTAAGTCGAATACTTGATATATTTCTCAATTGAGTCTCGCAATTTTTGCATCAACGGCCACCTAAATGTCCAAAAGATTAGGCCATTTGCTTTTATAGATTACCTCCAAGATGTCTCCAATGTTGACTGTAAATGCATTAGGGAGTGGAACAACCGGAATCCAAATTCCATCCTTTTTTATTTGGAGGCCTTCGATTTCACTAACTTGGAGGAGAATGGTGAGGCCGCCGGAATCCGAGTGCGGGGTCAGGCCAATGACCGACTCCGGTTGAGGACATGGAGGATAGTAATTGATCCTCATTCCCTGCATCCCTTCTTCAAATAGCACCCTCGTATCACCAACCTCCATTTTTAAAGCTTTTGCTATAAAGGTAAGGATATTCATGGCAAGGTTTTTTACTTCTATTGAGTGGGCTTCCATGGTATCTCTGCATTCAAAGATAATTGTTTTCTTAGAGGTATTAAAACATTGTTCATATGAAAAGACACCAATATCTAAACACAAACGCCTCTGATGTGAATTAAAGCAGCGAAAAACGCAAGAAAAATCTGAAATGCTAACCGAACGCCCAACAAATATTGAAAATTAGAGTAACATAGTTTGAATGGATTCAAATTCCCACTTGTATATTTTTTTTTTCAATTCTCTTCTCGGTTGATTATCTATTATTAATGAGTGAAAGACTTATTATATACAAAAAGTCCCACTTGAATGCATGTTGGTTGACAAGAGTAAAAAATTAAAGAGAATCTTACTTAGTAGGGGCTCATTATAAAAGTATGACAAAACTAGGATTCAAGTATTCAACCCTCAGTGTACCTCCAATCACTCACCCAACAATTGACAAGCGATGATGCAATAGATAGAACATAAAGAAAAAGAAAAACATTAGCAAGATTTATTGGAAAACCCCTCTAACAAAAGGGAAAAAAACCTGAGCAACACTCCAAACTGCCCAATTATTAACTTGAAAGCAATAATGTTTTATAGTTTAAAAAATTGGAGATTAATCCATTTTTTACAGTTGAAAGTTTTTGGGTGTCGAATCAAGTTATAATTATTTTAGATTAAGTTATCGTAAAATGAGATTGATGGTATTAATTATATATAATATTTTAAGATCGATACTAATTATTTTTGCTGGAACTTAACCATTGGAATGGTTTATTATGAGAAAAATAAAGTGGTAAGTTTGATTCCATAATGACAGCACCCAACTCTTACCTCAATGTCGTAATTGACCTACCTGCTGGAAGTGAGTGGGTCACAAAGGAGACCTTCAGAGGTTGATTTTCCAACCATGGACTGAACAATCATTGCACAAAGAGAGAGAGAGAGAGTAGGATTGATAATTGAGCTACTCAGGTTCGACTTAGATAAGATTCGACTCAAATTCAGCTTTTGTTTAAATCATATTTTAGACTCCTCTAAAAAACGAGTCTAAAAAGACTCGACTCAAGATAGCAAAACTCGACTCGTTTATATGTAAAATAATCGAACTATTCGAGTTCGGCTCGAGTACAACTTGTTTTGGGCTTGACTCAGGTTCGGATCATTTTCTAAACATGTTGAGTTTGAAATTTTTTTAGACCCATTTAAAAAATGAGCTCAATAGACCAGGCTCGATTATCGGGGGAGAGAGGGAGAGAGAGTTCTGACCTGAAAGGAGCAGGGAACTTGGGTAATAATTGGGGTTTCCTTAAGTAGGTTGGAAGGGTGACAATGTAGAACATATCTGCCCAATCAAGCTTTTGTTCCTCAGATACAACAAAGGCCTGTCCAAATCCCTCTATGTCTCCTGGTTCTTGCCCAAACTTCTTCTTCTCCTCTACTGGAAGTTTGAAGAACTCCTGAATCTCAATCTTCAATTTGTCCACCAATGAAGAGCTCACTTCATGATTTATCAGCTGCAATATAATAATAATATATGTCTTTTCTCTTAGTTTTGTTGATCCAATATAACCCTTCATTCAAAAAATTAAGTAGAAAAAGAGCTAGAAGAATAAAGGCACCAAATTTGTGAAATAAATAGATACAGATCCAGAATAATTTTGCCTTAATCACAAACACTATTGAAAAAGCAATGATCTACAAAGTTGTGAAATGAGTTTAAATTGATTTGATTTGCAGAAATCGGACCTCGACCATTGTCAACTGCTGATCATCTAAGCGATACATCACAGTTTGAGTATAATAATCTAACTCTTTAGAATAAGAGTAAAATTATTTATCTTGTACCTCTCTCAGAAGTTAAACTCTTTTGTAGGCATAAGTCTTGTGTCCCAGATTTTATTTTTCTAATTAATGTGTAGTTGGATATGCATTGGATACAACCGGATAAGTCTCGCTATTATAAATATATCTCAAGGATGTAATTCATATATAAAACTGTTTTGGAGTAGGTGGTAGGTAGATATATGAGTACCTGAAAGAAACTCCATTCCTTGCATGCACGGTGTAGCTTTTCAAGCTCTAAATCTTTGGAATCTCCAGAAAGCAAGCTCTGCAAGTCGATGATGGGGACCTGAGGTAAGGAGGAGTTATCAGATATGATCGGATGATCTTGAACGGGACGTACATATCGCGGCGGAACGGTGCCTAACTGTTCCCTAGCCAGCTCTTGAACAGAAGGCACCTCAAGAGAGCCCCCTAGCCTTATTGACTTTGGGTCCATGGAAGCCAATCTCTCTCTTTATCTCTCACACATGTAATCTGTTGTTAAATAGCCATATCAATGGAAAGGCAATGGAAAGGCACCTTATGGTAAGTAGGCTGCTTATTATTTTCATGGTAGGCCAGAAAATACCATCAGCAGACAGAAAAAAATTTTGGATGTAACGATAATATCGTGTAATCGTCTAATGATAGGATGACAAGTGTGCAAGTGGATCCCACATGAGTAATTATTATATAATAAAGATAAGTAGTTATTTAATTATGTAAGATTCACTTGTCCACTTATTATCCTATTATCGAATGATTAGCGTGATGATATGGTGTGACTATCACACTCAATATTTTTTCCATCATATGGATATTAAGTCCACATTGCTTTATTCACAATACTTTAAAGTGGGAAAATACTTTCAGTCCCCTCAAGCAGGGGCGGAGCCAGAAAATTATATTTGGGTGGGCACCAAACATTTTAGTCAGGTTTTAATTTTTTTTTCTCAAAATTTATAAAAGTAAGATAATAAATTTAATTTTTTGATTATGCTACTATTAATACTTCAAAATTTCCTTAAAGACAAAATGCCAAAATTAGGAAAGCATAGTGTATAAACTTAAAACAAAATAAAACATTAATTATAAGCCTTTTGTTAAAAAAAATTTGTGCCGTTTGAAAGCATTTAGCCTCACCGAATTTTCTCAATGTAGACATTCAAAATCAAGCACCCAACAATATTCACATTTGATTAAGAATCAAACAATAAAATATTGAAGATGGAAGAAAAATATTATCGAATTATATCATTGTAATTGAATGAAGATATTTGTGATTTTAAGAATAAAGGAGACCCTTGATTGGTTACTTGCTAACCGGTAATGGAAAACAGTAGGATTTGGCAGTTAACCTCCATGCAAAAAAGTTGGAACGCCTACCCAAAAAAGTTAAAACTCCATCTCCCAAAAGTTAAAATCTTTACTCAAAAAAAGTGAAATCTCTACCCAAAAAAGTTAGAACCACTCTCCCAAAAGTTGAAATATCTACCCAAAAAAGTTTGAACCCCTCCCTAAGAGTGGGAACCTTTGCCCAAAATAAATTAGAACCCTACCCAAAAAATTTAGAACCCCTCCCCCAAGAATTGGAACCTTTACCATAAAAAGGTGGAACCCCCTACTTAAAAAGTTGGAATCCCCCCAACTGTTAGAACCTATCCCCCAAGAGTTGGAACCTCCAAGAAAGATGGAACCCCTCCCGTCAAATATTATAACATCTATCCAAAAAAATTGGAACTCCTACCAAAAAAAGTTGAATCCCTCCCCCCAAGAATTGAAATCTCTACCAAAAAGTTTGAATCCCTACCCAAAAAAGTTGGAACCCTCACCAAAAAAAATTGGAACCCCTCATCTAAAGAATTGGAACCTCTATCCAAAAAAGTTGAAACCTCTACCCAAAAAAGTTGAAACTCATTCCAAAAAAGTTGGAACCCCTTCCCCAACAGTTAGAACTCACAAAAAAAGTTATAATTCAATTAAAAAAAGTTGAAACTCTATCCCAAAAAAATTATCACCCTATCCAAAATAGTTAAAATCTCACCATTTTTTTTATCATTAAAAAAAAAAATATCACTATAAAAGTCAGAACCCTCCCCCAGAACTCATCTTAAAAAGTTATAACTCAATTTTAAAAAGTTGGAACCCCTACCCAAAAAAGTTGGAACCCACCACAAAAAAGTTCGAACCCCTACTGAAAAAATTGGAACCTCTACTGAAAAAGTTATAATTAAATTCAAAAAAAGTTGAAACCTCAAACAAAAATTGAAACCCAAAGAGTTGGAACCTGTACACAACAATTAGAACCAACTCAAAAAAGTTATAACTCAATTAAAAAAAGTGAAACGTGAGCCAAAAATGTAAACTAATGCATAAAAGTTGAAACTCTATTTTAAAAAGTTCAAACCACCCAAAAAAAATATAAACGAATCCTAAAAAATTAAACCTCATACCAAAAGCTTATAACTCAATCCAAAATGGTTGAAATCTGACTAAAACAGTTGTAACCTAGCTAATCCGAGTCACCCCAAAAAATAGGAACCCAATCAAAAAAAATTATAACTTTGACCCAAATAGTTGGAAGTATTATTTTCAATTCTTTTAAGTATTTGATTTTATTAATTATTTATTTGTTGTTCATAAAAAATGAGACTATTTAAAAAATATTGAATATTTTTGGACAGTAAATTTTTTTTGATTATTTAAGGGATAAAAATGTGATATTAACCCCTGATCGGCCTTGCATTTCTTCGGCCGGTCTTAATTCTTTACATGTAAATTACACTTACACACCATAAATTATAATATATTATTTTTCTTATTTTCTAGTGAATATTGTGGTCCACAAATCACAAAAACCTTATCTTCTTCATCCACCCACTTTCTCGTCCAAACTATTTTTCACTTCTCTTACCTTCGCTCCATCTCTTTTTCCGCCCAAACCATTTTTCACTTATCTTGCCTTCCCTCCATCTCTTCTACTGTACATCCCTTCTCCCTTTAACCATTCAAAAGTATTTGTTTGGATTAGAATTTGGTGAATGTTGCCCTAATTATAAACATTCATGGTAAATTTGACAAAAAATAATTTTATTTTACCCCTAAATTATGAATTTTTTTTTACTTTGCCCCCAAAACATTGGAAATTTTCATCCCAAAAAGACAACGGTCCCTTGTATTTAAAACTATGTGAAATAATTGAAGTAGTTGAGGAAATAAAATAAAAAATTTAATAGTTCAAGGAGCATGGCAAAATAGAGTCCAAAGTTAAAGTAATCAAAGCGTAATTTATCTTACAATTAATTTTTTATAGGACAAATTATTTTTATTTTAGACAAATTATGGGGTGATATGATGTGACATTTCTTTAATCATGATGTGACATTTTACAAGGTGGTGACGTAACAATGGTGAGGTTATCCTTAAAAGAGATCCGTTGCTTTACTCTTCGTCCCTCCTCCTCTTGTGGCCCAAATTGCTCATTTGGAGGATTGTTGATCAGGTTGTGCAAATGACTCAGCTGGGCTGATAGGACCACTTCTTTGCAAGTTCATAAAGTCTGTAACATGAAAAAGGACATACCACTAACCTAAATATGACAAGACTGAGACTGACACGAACTTTAAATTAATCATAGGAGGAGTGGACGATTTCTTGTTACAAAACAAGAGCATCTATGTCTGCCCGGCAACAAAATCTTCCACCGTAATACCTTCCTACTAGGCCACATTAGGTGGTGTAAGAGAAGTGGTGCACAAAGGTGGTATCAACAATATTATTCTTTTTTTAGTATTTATATGATATTTTTGATGAAATTTATTTATTTTGAGATGAATATACTTTTTGGGCTCACTTATCATTTTTTTGGAATAAATTTTACTACCTTTTAAAGTATTTTTTACTTATTGGTATGATACCAAATTTTACTTTTCAATAGGACATTTTTTTACAAACAATAATGATCACCATCTACAAAAAAAGAAAAAATGATTTTTTTTTTTATAGAATAATATTACATGAACTTAGAAAATAGACTTAATATTTGTTGATTTTGCACAAAACATTCCAAATTTTTGGCCTTGTTATCATATTCTACCACCGGAAAATTGCATAGTATAACATTTATATGAACAGGCTGTCATGAAGATTAACACATTAGACATCTATTTGTAATAGATTTGTTCTATATTCCCATATTGAATTCCTTTTTCTTATTTGTTTATTGGCTTTCCTTGCAACTCATATAACTAATCCGACCCTACAATATGTCATCTATTTCGATTCAGAAATTTGCCTCTTCAAAACAAATTTCCAATCAGAAATCACAAAACAAACGGACAACCAAACATAAATAAAACGGTGAACCACATTGCAATATTTTTATTTTTTTTAGGGGATAATGTGAAAAAAACAAATCATTCGGGGGGACAAATTAAAGATTTTAATATCTTTCATGGGACAAAATGGGATTTACCCAAATTTATATCTCCAACATGGATAGCTGGCCTCTTTCTCAAACTATTGTCACCCTCCCAACTCAAATTCTCATGAAATCAAGGTATGACTTACCATCAAGTTTCTTGCAAAAAATTCCTTCAAATACTCTTCAATGGGGACTTGTCGAAAAACTGCAGGGTGATGTAGAATGGTGCAGGCCCCAGTTGTGAGTGTAGGTTGGAGCTGTAGAATGGTGCAATGGAGAGCCTCTCTTTGGTTGAGTTCACTGTTGCTCTGTGCTCAATGCTCCTATACAGACCATTGTTCACAATCTGTCAAGGCACAGGACAAATTTCATGTTATCAAATTTCTACTTTGATTACACCATACGAATACAATGTCTGATTCTCAGGTTTCACACCTTGAATTAGAATTCAGATTCAATCCCAGTTATGCTCGATTCAACTTATTTTGGTTAAGTCTCAAAAATCCGTTATCTCAATCTAAGTATTACCCAATTTCAAATAAACCTAATTCCACTTATTCTATTTGGGTATCGAAAAAACTTTCAATTTAATTCAAGTATTGTCGAATTATAATTAAACCCCATTGTTGCTTATTTTGGTTAGGTCTGAAAAACTTGACCTCTCAATCCGAGTATTGCCTGAATTTAGTTATTCTTTTGCGTTTTTTTTTTGTCCAAAATTCACCCAAGTATCAAACATTGGGTTAGGACTGACATAGCCTGATTTCACTCCTAATTTCAAGCTATATTATTTATAGAGTAAATATTCCCTCCATAATGTCACCAACGTTGACTACAAAAGCATTGGGAAGTGGTTTTATAGGCACCCATTTCCCATCTTTCCTAATCAGGAGGCCCTCAGTTTCATTGAGCTGAAAGAGAATTGTTAGGGCAACTGCATCAGAGTGAGAAGTGAAGCCAATGGCCATATCTGGCTGTGGGCATGGAGGATAGTAATTCATTCTCATTGTTTGGACCCTATCAGTGAATAGTTCTGTGATCTCCTCATCATCCATCGTTAGAGCCTTGCCATTTGCCTCAAGATGGTCATGGCTAGCTTTTTCACTTCTATTGAGTAAGCTTCCATCGTCTCTCTGCAAATTACCATGAAGCTGAAATCACATTATCTATAATAAAACAATTTCCTTTGGCAATTTCAATCTTTGGTGGAACGACTTTATCTCAAACTTTAGATGCACCCAATTATCCACCAATGAAGCTCATCTGTTAAACAAAATTGGGAAAGAGTAATCTGAGCTCAGATGTGCGAGTTTATGTCACATCTGTTTTTCAATCACTGAACGAATCCGTGGTGGTTGCATAAAACCGTTCTTGTTCAAAGAGAACACTACAAACACACCCACATTATTGGCAGAATGTCCATCAAGTGTCTCTCAGAGAGAGAGAGAGAGAGAGAGAGAGAGAGACCTGAGCTTTGGAGGTAAATTTTCAAACAATTGGGTCTTCCTTAGAGTGGGCGGAAGGGTGGTTATGTAGAACATGTCTGACCAATCAAGCTTCTGCTGCGATGATACAACATAGAGCTGGCCAAACCCTTCATGGTTGTCGGGTTGTTGCCATAGCTTTGTTTTTTCTTCCAAAGGTTGTTGGAAGAAATTAACAATCTCTCTCTTCAAGTCCTCTAACAGTGAAGCACTCACCCCATGGTTTATAACCTGCATAACAAACCAGAAAAAACTCTAAATTTTTTGACCCAATTCGTTAATCTAATTCATTCTCTTTGTTATATTAGCTGGGGACCCAATGTTCAATAGAATGCATTGTCAATCCAATAACTGATGTTATTACATCATCCGTTTATGTTATTAAGTTTGGTCCAAATAATATTTTGATATAATCTTTCAATGCATGTAAAGCCTCTATTCATACACTGTGCCATAAAAAAAAAAAAAAAACCAAAATGATAATTTTCAACTAGTACGTCCCTATTGTCCGGCCAGCCCGTGGATGACCCTTAAAATTACATCTCAAAAATTAATAATAACAAACCGTATCATATTCATGATCAACGCCATTGAAATTTAATTTTGGCGGTGGGATCTAAAATTAAATGGCCCCCCACCAATCTGTCAATAACATATTAATATTACATCAAAATCCAATACAACGCATAATATAACAAGGTATGCAGGTAAACCTACCAGCGGGCCCCATTAATTGGATCGAATTTACTATTAATTCAATAGTCATGATTTATTAGATCAATAACTGAAGCCAAAATGAATTAATATGAGCTTATAATTAAATTAATAATAATAATAAATTAAATGCGTAGATCAACTTAGTCCAAGTGGCGTTACTCACGTACTAAATACCTAGGTTTGAGTTAAGATTGTGTTTGGCAATATCACCAACAATGACAGAAAGCTAACCTGGAAAAAACTCCATTCTCTACAAGCTGAGTGATGCCTCTCCAGTTCAGAATGCACAATCTCTCCAACGATTAAGTTGTGTACATCGATGATGGGTACCGACTGCATCGACATGCCAGTGGATATGATCGGAGGAGGCTCCCAATCATCTCGGCTAACGTATCAAGGTGGGATCTGTGTGATGGGTTGTTTGGCCTGCCCTTGGACGCTAGACACTATCAGTGATTTTCCAAAAATTACTGCTACTTCTTCTGGAGATGACTCCATGGACTCAAACTATCAGGTTGAGGAAGAAGATAAGGTTTTTTTTTTTTTGAACTGAAGAAGAAAAGGTTTTGGCGGAGACAAACAAAGGAGAATCTTGCTTTTCTTTGAACAGCACCTTTTGACTTGCTTTCCTCTACCCCCAAAAATTTAGGATGCGTCTTGGGACGGTTGAAAAGTCATCCAATTTTCAGTATTAAATTTTTAACTTTAATTCCATTTTTAATCCGACCTCAATTCAAAGTATTCAATCCGAGTATTATTTAAGTTAAATTTGGACAAGTTGAGTTTGTTTATGTCCGAAATTAAAATGTTATTCTAAATTTAGTACATACTATACAATATTTACTTGAAGCAACAATCAATAACTTCAATTAAATATTTAATATAAATACTATAGTATTTAAATTATAAAAAATCATATTGGAAAAAAAATCAAATTACACTTTTTCTTAAAATAATGACTAATATAGCCAAATTAATATAAAAAGCATACTGAACTTAATGTTTAACTATAATATTCAAATTGGGCCCAATAAAATATTCGGGTTGAATCTAAATGTATAATTGGGTTAAACCCAGGTATCGTGGCATCAATTTAGGTGTTGTCTAAATTTAATTCGGGTTGATGTTTTTAACCCAAGCTTAATCCAATCCCTTTTTTTTTTTTGGTTGAATTTGGGTTGGCTTGCCTAAGTTGCAACCTACCAAAAATTTTTCATGCACTAGTTGTATTTGGGTCAAATTGAATTTATTATTCTTAACGGATTAAGACATGAATCTTGAAAATAAAATCTATTGGATAATTGAATCGAACTTTTAAAATAAAATCTGAATTCAGACTAGCAAAATTCACTTCAACTCTGATCCATTTGTTGGTTTTTTTTTATGGAGTTTAGTTTATATTTGCGATCCGGATGATGACCAGACCCGAAATAATGTTGTGTGGTTTTTAATGGAAAATTTTCTGAGGCTTAGTCCATGGAGCGAAGGCTTGGGCCGATAGTAGTGGGAATCTAAAATTACAGTCATTTCATATGATCTGATTGGAAATGTACAAAGCGAAGAGAATGGTGGAGATGATGAAAAAGAGGGGAGACAAATAAACAAGAGACTACTTTATTGTCAAAAAAAATTTGGTACTGTATTTGCAAAATTGAGTAAATTACATATATAATCCTCAAATTATAAACTTGTATCAATTAAATCCTTGAATTTTTTTTATGTCAATTGAGCTTCTGAACTCTCGGTTTGTGTCAATTGTGCCTTTTTGTCTGCGTTTGTTAGAGTGTGCCACTCACGTGACAATACGACACAAAAAGTTAGAAGGGCTTAATTAATACAATTAGAGAGTTCGAAAGTTGAATTAACAAAAAAAAAAAAAAGTACAAGGGTTTAATTGACATAAAAATCATAATTTGAGGACCATGTGTGTAGTTTACTATAACTCATACATTTTGCCACTTTCATTAGAAAATCTAACGGAGGCAGACAAAAGGGATTAATTGACACAATTGGAGAGTTCAGGGGCTCAATTGACACACAAAAGAAGTTTAGGGGTTTAATTGATACAAGGGGTCATAGTTTGAGAGCCATATTTGTAATTCACTCTCCAAAATTTATAAGTTTTGTAGGCTGAAATTATTACAAGTTTTTGAGTTTGTTTACAACAAAAATAATTTACAACTTTTGAGGTCTTATTACAATTTTTATAGTCCAAGTTACAATTTTGTGGGATTATTTATAATTTTTGAGGGTTACTTCTAAATGATCCTAAAAATTTATGATCTATCGCAAGTAGCCTTCAAAAGTTGTAAATGATTTTTAGGATCAATCTTAGGTGATCCTAAAGTTGTAAATAATCCTCAAAAGTTTTAAATAATTCACAAAAGTTATAAATGACCTTTAAATTTTAGGGGTTTTTCACACTTTTTACGCTAAAAGATTTCAAATTTTCTACTTTGTACCTTCAAAAATTAAATTTTTTATATTGCACACTCAATGTATTAAAAGTGTTACAATGTAGTCCTTCTATTAGCTTCTGTTACTTTTTCTGTCAAAAACCAATCTATTAATAAATTTAATCTTTTAGGGTGTAAAATAAAAATTTTAGAATCTTTTAAGATTCAAAGTGCAATTCACCCCCAAATTTTATAAAAAAAAACCCACAAATAAAGCTTATAAATGTGGGGATTAGATAAATCCTTATACGTGGGTGTTAGATAAAACTCATCTATAATATAAAATATGACATGTTTCAATAAATTTATCCGACGATTTCAAATAGATTCATCTAACGGCCACTAACATATTTCTCAAAATTATTCACATTGCGCCATCCCTTCATGCACGAGATACCCTCAGTAAAACCTATCAAACCAAACAAACTTTATATGAATCCTTTTCTGATTCAAAATACATCTAATACCCTTTCTTTCTTCGGTTTATCTCACATAGAAAGCACAAGGTGGTCAGATCAGGTCGTGCTTGTGGTAGATTGGGCTTGCGCTTACAACGGCTTGGGGTGATTCATTGGTTTAACGAAGGCCCAAGGTGGTCAGGTGGTGCTTGTAGTAGCTTGGGCTATTAACACAAGTAGTAAATAAATAGCATAATCTATTAACACGAGTAATATATAAATGACTAGGGCTAATCTGAATCTGAAAATAAGATGTAACGTAAGTGAGAAGTGATGAGTTTGGAGGAGGAGGGGGAGAGGGAATTCAATGTGAATAGTTTCGAGAGCGATATTGGTGGCCGTTGGATTAAATGACATTACAAGAAGAAAGAGATTTTTGTTTTTTATGATTTTGGTACGTGTGACCAACATAAATGATGATTTATACAATTGAGCGGAGCGTGAATGATTCATGTAATCAACCTTGAATAGTAGATACAAAGCATTGGTTTTTTTTTTTTTTGGTTCAACAGTCAAGAGTGTTCGGGTCAGTTTACACGCACTTCAACTAATCATCTTCTCGATTTGATCAATTATAAGCCATCTATGCCGGTCAAAAGCTTTGTGAGAGTATCAATTGGTTTGATTAGTGATAAGGCTTCCTAGTGGCCCCAAATCTGTATCTAATTTTGGGCTAAGAAAGTCTCAGTCTCTGAATGCACAACTACAACGTTGAATACTATGGTAAACTCCATTGCCACAATTTGCAAAATATATCAACGAAAAATAGTAGGATTAGAAGTGGTAATTTTCGACATGACAGTTTAAAATGATATAAATCCAACAAAAAATCAGTGGGTTATGATGGACTAGTTCTCGTAAACTCTGAAATAAAATGAGTCGCTAACACGAATCATGAATAAATCGGATTAGTATCGGACACAAATAATCAAATTCTAACAAGACAACTAAATGAACTTATGAAGTTTTTCGATCTTTTCATTTTCTTCATTTGGTAGACTGTTATAGTCATGTGGGTAGACTGTTATAATCATGTGTTTTCGGTTCACGATTTTCAGTGTCATCCAACCCACAAGATTAATAACAATGCACGTTAGTACCATGACATAAGATAGACTGCTAATATGTTACTGTTTAAAGATTAACTAATCCTCGATATTAATCCAAAATAACACAACATGACTATATTTTAATCCGAAATTACAACATGCATTCCAATATTCTGATAAAAGATGTCCAGTAGTACTATAGTACAACATTTAATCCAACATTTTATGCAAACATTATTGCCGATTATATATTGAAAGGAGGGACATATATAATGTAACCGAACTAAATAGTCGAGATAAGACTTGATTGAGTTATTGGAGGTATATGTGTCGAGCTCCAATGCCGATTCCAATAGTTGAATGGTACTTAATATTTTTGCCCATCTTTTTCAATCCTCATGATATCCAAATATGATTTTCCCTCAAGCTTGCGAGAATAATATCCCCTGAAGAAATCTGCAACACCAATCCTTTTGAATAATGCTGGTGTTTGTTCATTGATAAGGCTTGGAGCTGGTCCTAGATCTCCATCTAATTTTGGGCTAAGAAAAGCGGCGATGGAAAGCCTCTCTTTCTTTGAATTCACTACTGCTCGATGCTCAATACTGCGGTAAATTCCATTTGTCACAATCTGCAAAAATATGTGTCAACAAACGTATAACAAATCGATCGGATTACTGTTAACAATGAACAACATGACAAAATAAACCCGCTTAATTGGTATTACAGAAAGAAAATGTTTGTTTTTTTTTATTCTTTGTTCTGGCATTGTGTGAATCCTTGTATTTTTTCCTTGATTTAACCAGCATTTAGATCAAGTGAATTGCTAGTTTATTGGAGACTTGTAAGTGGTTAGTTTAATTGAAACGAAAAGAGGGTACCGGTCCTAGGTTTCTGATTCACTGTTATCCATATATGCTCACGAACATGACATACTGATTAAACAAATGATGTTAGGGTTAACAAATAGCTGACAAATAGCCAAAATGACCCGACAACATTTGACTGACGTGTAAGTCGAATACTTGATATATTTCTCAATTGAGTCTCGCAATTTTTGCATCAACGGCCACCTAAATGTCCAAAAGATTAGGCCATTTGCTTTTATAGATTACCTCCAAGATGTCTCCAATGTTGACTGTAAATGCATTAGGGAGTGGAACAACCGGAATCCAAATTCCATCCTTTTTTATTTGGAGGCCTTCGATTTCACTAACTTGGAGGAGAATGGTGAGGCCGCCGGAATCCGAGTGCGGGGTCAGGCCAATGACCGACTCCGGTTGAGGACATGGAGGATAGTAATTGATCCTCATTCCCTGCATCCCTTCTTCAAATAGCACCCTCGTATCACCAACCTCCATTTTTAAAGCTTTTGCTATAAAGGTAAGGATATTCATGGCAAGGTTTTTTACTTCTATTGAGTGGGCTTCCATGGTATCTCTGCATTCAAAGATAATTGTTTTCTTAGAGGTATTAAAACATTGTTCATATGAAAAGACACCAATATCTAAACACAAACGCCTCTGATGTGAATTAAAGCAGCGAAAGACGCAAGAAAAATCTGAAATGCTAACCGAACGCCCAACAAATATTGAAAATTAGAGTAACATAGTTTGAATGGATTCAAATTCCCACTTGTATATTTTTTTTTTCAATTCTCTTCTCGGTTGATTATCTATTATTAATGAGTGAAAGACTTATTATATACAAAAAGTCCCACTTGAATGCATGTTGGTTGACAAGAGTAAAAAATTAAAGAGAATCTTACTTAGTAGGGGCTCATTATAAAAGTATGACAAAACTAGGATTCAAGTATTCAACCCTCAGTGTACCTCCAATCACTCACCCAACAATTGACAAGCGATGATGCAATAGATAGAACATAAAGAAAAAGAAAAACATTAGCAAGATTTATTGGAAAACCCCTCTAACAAAAGGGAAAAAAACCTGAGCAACACTCCAAACTGCCCAATTATTAACTTGAAAGCAATAATGTTTTATAGTTTAAAAAATTGGAGATTAATCCATTTTTTACAGTTGAAAGTTTTTGGGTGTCGAATCAAGTTATAATTATTTTAGATTAAGTTATCGTAAAATGAGATTGATGGTATTAATTATATATAATATTTTAAGATCGATACTAATTATTTTTGCTGGAACTTAACCATTGGAATGGTTTATTATGAGAAAAATAAAGTGGTAAGTTTGATTCCATAATGACAGCACCCAACTCTTACCTCAATGTCGTAATTGACCTACCTGCTGGAAGTGAGTGGGTCACAAAGGAGACCTTCAGAGGTTGATTTTCCAACCATGGACTGAACAATCATTGCACAAAGAGAGAGAGAGAGAGTAGGATTGATAATTGAGCTACTCAGGTTCGACTTAGATAAGATTCGACTCAAATTCAGCTTTTGTTTAAATCATATTTTAGACTCCTCTAAAAAACGAGTCTAAAAAGACTCGACTCAAGATAGCAAAACTCGACTCGTTTATATGTAAAATAATCGAACTATTCGAGTTCGGCTCGAGTACAACTTGTTTTGGGCTTGACTCAGGTTCAGATCATTTTCTAAACATGTTGAGTTTGAAATTTTTTTAGACCCATTTAAAAAATGAGCTCAATAGACCAGGCTCGATTATCGGGGGAGAGAGGGAGAGAGAGTTCTGACCTGAAAGGAGCAGGGAACTTGGGTAATAATTGGGGTTTCCTTAAGTAGGTTGGAAGGGTGACAATGTAGAACATATCTGCCCAATCAAGCTTTTGTTCCTCAGATACAACAAAGGCCTGTCCAAATCCCTCTATGTCTCCTGGTTCTTGCCCAAACTTCTTCTTCTCCTCTACTGGAAGTTTGAAGAACTCCTGAATCTCAATCTTCAATTTGTCCACCAATGAAGAGCTCACTTCATGATTTATCAGCTGCAATATAATAATAATATATGTCTTTTCTCTTAGTTTTGTTGATCCAATATAACCCTTCATTCAAAAAATTAAGTAGAAAAAGAGCTAGAAGAATAAAGGCACCAAATTTGTGAAATAAATAGATACAGATCCAGAATAATTTTGCCTTAATCACAAACACTATTGAAAAAGCAATGATCTACAAAGTTGTGAAATGAGTTTAAATTGATTTGATTTGCAGAAATCGGACCTCGACCATTGTCAACTGCTGATCATCTAAGCGATACATCACAGTTTGAGTATAATAATCTAACTCTTTAGAATAAGAGTAAAATTATTTATCTTGTACCTCTCTCAGAAGTTAAACTCTTTTGTAGGCATAAGTCTTGTGTCCCAGATTTTATTTTTCTAATTAATGTGTAGTTGGATATGCATTGGATACAACCGGATAAGTCTCGCTATTATAAATATATCTCAAGGATGTAATTCATATATAAAACTGTTTTGGAGTAGGTGGTAGGTAGATATATGAGTACCTGAAAGAAACCCCATTCCTTGCATGCACGGTGTAGCTTTTCAAGCTCTAAATCTTTGGAATCTCCAGAAAGCAAGCTCTGCAAGTCGATGATGGGGACCTGAGGTAAGGAGGAGTTATCAGATATGATCGGATGATCTTGAACGGGACGTACATATCGCGGCGGAACGGTGCCTAACTGTTCCCTAGCCAGCTCTTGAACAGAAGGCACCTCAAGAGAGCCCCCTAGCCTTATTGACTTTGGGTCCATGGAAGCCAATCTCTCTCTTTCTCTTTCACACATGTAATCTGTTGTTAAATAGCCATATCAATGGAAAGGCAATGGAAAGGCACCTTATGGTAAGTAGGCTGCTTATTATTTTCATGGTAGGCCAGAAAATACCATCAGCAGACAGAAAAAATATTGGATGTAACGATAATATCGTGTAATCGTCTAATGATAGGATGACAAGTGTGCAAGTGGATCCCACATGAGTAATTATTATATAATAAAGATAAGTAGTTATTTAATTATGTAAGATTCACTTGTCCACTTATTATCCTATTATCGAATGATTAGCGTGATGATATGGTGTAACTATCACACTCAATATTTTTTCCATCATATGGATATTAAGTCCACATTGCTTTATTCACAATACTTTAAAGTGGGAAAATACTTTCAGTCCCCTCAAGCAGGGGCGGAGCCAGAAAATTATATTTGGGTGGGCACCAAACATTTTAGTCAGGTTTTAATTTTTTTTTCTCAAAATTTATAAAAGTAAGATAATAAATTTAATTTTTTGATTATGGTACTATTAATACTTCAAAATTTCCTTAAAGACAAAATGCCAAAATTAGGAAAGCATAGTGTATAAACTTAAAACAAAATAAAACATTAATTATAAGCCTTTTGTTAAAAAAAATTTGTGCCGTTTGAAAGCATTTAGCCTCAACGAATTTTCTCCATGTAGACATTCAAAATCAAGCACCCAACAATATTCACATTTGATTAAGAATCAAACAATAAAATATTGAAGATGGAAGAAAAATATTATCGAATTATATCATTGTAATTGAATGAAGATATTTGTGATTTTAAGAATCAAGGAGACCCTTGATTGGTTACTTGCTAACCGGTAATGGAAAACAGTAGGATTTGGCAGTTAACCTCTACGCAAAAAAGTTGGAACGCCTACCCAAAAAAGTTAAAACTCCATCTCCCAAAAGTTAAAATCTTTACTCAAAAAAGTTGGAATCTCTACCCAAAAAAGTTAGAACCACTCTCCAAAGAGTTGAAATATCTACCCAAAAAAGTTTGAACCCCTCCCTAAGAGTGGGAACCTTTGCCCAAAATAAATTAGAACCCTACCCAAAAAATTTAGAACCCCTCCCCCAAGAATTGGAACCTTTACCAAAAAAAGGTGGAACCCCCTACTTAAAAAGTTGGAATCCCCCCAACTGTTAGAACCTATCCCCCAAGAGTTGGAACCTCCAAGAAAGATGGAACCCCTCCCCTCAAATATTATAACATCTATCCAAAAAAGTTGGAACTCCTACCCAAAAAAAGTTGAATCCCTCCCCCCAAGAATTGAAACCTCTACCAAAAAGTTTGAATCCCTACCCAAAAAAGTTGGAACCCTCACCAAAAAAAATTGGAACCCCTCATCTAAAGAATTGGAACCTCTATCTCAAAAACTTGAAACCTCTACCCAAAAAAGTTGAAACTCATCCCAAAAAAGTTGGAACCCCTTCCCCAACAGTTAGAACTCACAAAAAAAGTTATAATTCAATTAAAAAAAGTTGAAACTCTATCCCAAAAAAATTATCACCCTATCCAAAATAGTTAAAATCTCACCATTTTTTTTATCATTAAAAAAAAAATATCACTATAAAAGTCAGAACCCTCCCCCAGAACTCATCTTAAAAAGTTATAACTCAGTTTTAAAAAGTTGGAACCCCTACCCAAAAAAGTTGGAACCCACCACAAAAAAGTTCGAACCCCTATTGAAAAAATTGGAACCTCTACTGAAAAAGTTATAATTAAATTCAAAAAAAGTTGAAATCTCAAACAAAAATTGAAACCCAAAGAGTTGGAACCTGTACACAACAGTTAGAACCAACTCAAAAAAGTTATAACTCAATTAAAAAAAGTGAAACGTGAGCCAAAAATGTAAACTAATGCATAAAAGTTGAAACTCTATTTTAAAAAGTTCAAACCACCCAAAAAAAATATAAACGAATCCTAAAAAATTAAACCTCATACCAAAAGCTTATAACTCAATCCAAAATGGTTGAAATCTGACTAAAACAGTTGTAACCTAGCTAATCCGAGTCACCCCAAAAAATAGGAACCCAATCAAAAAAAAGTTATAACTTTGACCCAAATAGTTGGAAGTATTATTTTCAATTCTTTTAAGTATTTGATTTTATTAATTATTTATTTGTTGTTCATAAAAAATGAGACTATTTAAAAAATATTGAATATTTTTGGACAGTAAATTTTTTTTGATTATTTAAGGGATAAAAATGTGATATTAACCCCTGATCGGCCTTGCATTTCTTCGGCCGGTCTTAATTCTTTACATGTAAATTACACTTACACACCATAAATTATAATATATTATTTTTCTTATTTTCTAGTGAATATTGTGGTCCACAAATCACAAAAACCTTATCTTCTTCATCCACCCACTTTCTCGTCCAAACTATTTTTCACTTCTCTTACCTTCCCTCCATCTCTTTTTCCGCCCAAACCATTTTTCACTTATCTTGCCTTCCCTCCATCTCTTCTACTGTACATCCCTTCTCCCTTTAACCATTCAAAAGTATTTGTTTGGATTAGAATTTGGTGAATGTTGCCCTAATTATAAACATTCATGGTAAATTTGACAAAAAATAATTTTATTTTACCCCTAAATTATGAATTTTTTTTTACTTTGCCCCCAAAACATTGGAAATTTTCATCCCAAAAAGACAACGGTCCCTTGTATTTAAAACTATGTGAAATAATTGAAGTAGTTGAGGAAATAAAATAAAAAATTAATAGTTCAAGGAGCATGGCAAAATAGAGTCCAAAGTTAAAGTAATCAAAGCGTAATTTATCTTACAATTAATTTTTTATAGGACAAATTATTTTTATTTTAGACAAATTATGGGGTGATATGATGTGACATTTCTTTAATCATGATGTGACATTTTACAAGGTGGTGACGTGACAATGGTGAGGTTATCCTTAAAAGAGATCCGTTGCTTTACTCTTCGTCCCTCCTCCTCTTGTGGCCCAAATTGCTCATTTGGAGGATTGTTGATCAGGTTGTGCAAATGACTCAGCTGGGCTGATAGGACCACTTCTTTGCAAGTTCATAAAGTCTGTAACATGAAAAAGGACATACCACTAACCTAAATATGACAAGACTGAGACTGACACGAACTTTAAATTAATCATAGGAGGAGTGGACGATTTCTTGTTACAAAACAAGAGCATCTAAGTCTGCCCGGCAACAAAATCTTCCACCGTAATACCTTCCTACTAGGCCACATTAGGTGGTGTAAGAGAAGTGGTGCACAAAGGTGGTATCAACAATATTATTCTTTTTTTAGTATTTATATGATATTTTTGATGAAATTTATTTATTTTGAGATGAATATACTTTTTGGGCTCACTTATCATTTTTTTGGAATAAATTTTACTACCTTTTAAAGTATTTTTTACTTATTGGTATGATACCAAATTTTACTTTTCAATAGGACATTTTTTTACAAACAATAATGATCACCATCTACAAAAAAAGAAAAAATGATTTTTTTTTTTATAGAATAATATTACATGAACTTAGAAAATAGACTTAATATTTGTTGATTTTGCACAAAACATTCCAAATTTTTGGCCTTGTTATCATATTCTACCACCGGAAAATTGCATAGTATAACATTTATATGAACAGGCTGTCATGAAGATTAACACATTAGACATCTATTTGTAATAGATTTGTTCTATATTCCCATATTGAATTCCTTTTTCTTATTTGTTTATTGGCTTTCCTTGCAACTCATATAACTAATCCGACCCTACAATATGTCATCTATTTCGATTCAGAAATTTGCCTCTTCAAAACAAATTTCCAATCAGAAATCACAAAACAAACGGACAACCAAACATAAATAAAACGGTGAACCACATTGCAATATTTTTATTTTTTTTAGGGGATAATGTGAAAAAAACAAATCATTCGGGGGGACAAATTAAAGATTTTAATATCTTTCATGGGACAAAATGGGATTTACCCAAATTTATATCTCCAACATGGATAGCTGGCCTCTTTCTCAAACTATTGTCACCCTCCCAACTCAAATTCTCATGAAATCAAGGTATGACTTACCATCAAGTTTCTTGCAAAAAATTCCTTCAAATACTCTTCAATGGGGACTTGTCGAAAAACTGCAGGGTGATGTAGAATGGTGCAGGCCCCAGTTGTGAGTGTAGGTTGGAGCTGTAGAATGGTGCAATGGAGAGCCTCTCTTTGGTTGAGTTCACTGTTGCTCTGTGCTCAATGCTCCTATACAGACCATTGTTCACAATCTGTCAAGGCACAGGACAAATTTCATGTTATCAAATTTCTACTTTGATTACACCATACGAATACAATGTCTGATTCTCAGGTTTCACACCTTGAATTAGAATTCAGATTCAATCCCAGTTATGCTCGATTCAACTTATTTTGGTTAAGTCTCAAAAATCCGTTATCTCAATCTAAGTATTACCCAATTTCAAATAAACCTAATTCCACTTATTCTATTTGGGTATCGAAAAAACTTTCAATTTAATTCAAGTATTGTCGAATTATAATTAAACCCCATTGTTGCTTATTTTGGTTAGGTCTGAAAAACTTGACCTCTCAATCCGAGTATTGCCTGAATTTAGTTATTCTTTTGCGTTTTTTTTTTGTCCAAAATTCACCCAAGTATCAAACATTGGGCTAGGACTGACATAGCCTGATTTCACTCCTAATTTCAAGCTATATTATTTATAGAGTAAATATTCCCTCCATAATGTCACCAACGTTGACTACAAAAGCATTGGGAAGTGGTTTTATAGGCACCCATTTCCCATCTTTCCTAATCAGGAGGCCCTCAGTTTCATTGAGCTGAAAGAGAATTGTTAGGGCAACTGCATCAGAGTGAGAAGTGAAGCCAATGGCCATATCTGGCTGTGGGCATGGAGGATAGTAATTCATTCTCATTGTTTGGACCCTATCAGTGAATAGTTCTGTGATCTCCTCATCATCCATCTTTAGAGCCTTGCCATTTGCCTCAAGATGGTCATGGCTAGCTTTTTCACTTCTATTGAGTAAGCTTCCATCGTCTCTCTGCAAATTACCATGAAGCTGAAATCACATTATCTATAATAAAACAATTTCCTTTGGCAATTTCAATCTTTGGTGGAACGACTTTATCTCAAACTTTAGATGCACCCAATTATCCACCAATGAAGCTCATCTGTTAAACAAAATTGGGAAAGAGTAATCTGAGCTCAGATGTGCGAGTTTATGTCACATCTGTTTTTCAATCACTGAACGAATCCGTGGTGGTTGCATAAAACCGTTCTTGTTCAAAGAGAACACTACAAACACACCCACATTATTGGCAGAATGTCCATCAAGTGTCTCTCAGAGAGAGAGAGAGAGAGAGAGAGAGAGAGAGACCTGAGCTTTGGAGGTAAATTTTCAAACAATTGGGTCTTCCTTAGAGTGGGCGGAAGGGTGGTTATGTAGAACATGTCTGACCAATCAAGCTTCTGCTGCGCTGATACAACATAGAGCTGGCCAAACCCTTCATGGTTGTCGGGTTGTTGCCATAGCTTTGTTTTTTCTTCCAAAGGTTGTTGGAAGAAATTAACAATCTCTCTCTTCAAGTCCTCTAACAGTGAAGCACTCACCCCATGGTTTATAACCTGCATAACAAACCAGAAAAAACTCTAAATTTTTTGACCCAATTCGTTAATCTAATTCATTCTCTTTGTTATATTAGCTGGGGACCCAATGTTCAATAGAATGCATTGTCAATCCAATAACTGATGTTATTACATCATCCGTTTATGTTATTAAGTTTGGTCCAAATAATATTTTGATATAATCTTTCAATGCATGTAAAGCCTCTATTCATACACTGTGCCATAAAAAAAAAAAAAAAAACCCAAAATGATAATTTTCAACTAGTACGTCCCTATTGTCCGGCCAGCCCGTGGATGACCCTTAAAATTACATCTCAAAAATTAATAATAACAAACCGTATCATATTCATGATCAACGCCATTGAAATTTAATTTTGGCGGTGGGATCTAAAATTAAATGGCCCCCCACCAATCTGTCAATAACATATTAACATTACATCAAAATCCAATACAACGCATAATATAACAAGGTATGCAGGTAAACCTACCAGCGGGCCCCATTAATTGGATCGAATTTACTATTAATTCAATAGTCATGATTTATTAGATCAATAACTGAAGCCAAAATGAATTAATATGAGCTTATAATTAAATTAATAATAATAATAAATTAAATGCGTAGATCAACTTAGTCCAAGTGGCGTTACTCACGTACTAAATACCAAGGTTTGAGTTAAGATTGTGTTTGGCAATATCACCAACAATGACAGAAAGCTAACCTGGAAAAAACTCCATTCTCTACAAGCTGAGTGATGCCTCTCCAGTTCAGAATGCACAATCTCTCCAACGATTAAGTTGTGTACATCGATGATGGGTACCGACTGCATCGACATGCCAGTGGATATGATCGGAGGAGGCTCCCAATCATCTCGGCTAACGTATCAAGGTGGGATCTGTGTGATGGGTTGTTTGGCCTGCCCTTGGACGCTAGACACTATCAGTGATTTTCCAAAAATTACTGCTACTTCTTCTGGAGATGACTCCATGGACTCAAACTATCAGGTTGAGGAAGAAGATAAGGTTTTTTTTTTTTTGAACTGAAGAAGAAAAGGTTTTGGCGGAGACAAACAAAGGAGAATCTTGCTTTTCTTTGAACAGCACCTTTTGACTTGCTTTCCTCTACCCCCAAAAATTTAGGATGCGTCTTGGGACGGTTGAAAAGTCATCCAATTTTCAGTATTAAATTTTTAACTTTAATTCCATTTTTAATCCGACCTCAATTCAAAGTATTCAATCCGAGTATTATTTAAGTTAAATTTGGACAAGTTGAGTTTGTTTATGTCCGAAATTAAAATGTTATTCTAAATTTAGTACATACTATACAATATTTACTTGAAGTAACAATCAATAACTTCAATTAAATATTTAATATAAATACTATAGTATTTAAAATATAAAAAATCATATTGGAAAAAAAATCAAATTACACTTTTTCTTAAAATAATGACTAATATAGCCAAATTAATATAAAAAGCATACTGAACTTAATGTTTAACTATAATATTCAAATTGGGCCCAATAAAATATTCGGGTTGAATCTAAATGTATAATTGGGTTAAACCCAGGTATCGTGGCATCAATTTAGGTATTGTCTAAATTTAATTCGGGTTGATGTTTTTAACCCAAGCCTAACCCAATCCCTTTTTTTTTTTTGGTTGAATTTGGGTTGGCTTGCCTAAGTTGCAACCTACCAAAAATTTTTCATGCACTAGTTGTATTTGGGTCAAATTGAATTTATTATTCTTAACGGATTAAGACATGAATCTTGAAAATAAAATCTATTGGATAATTGAATCGAACTTTTAAAATAAAATCTGAATTCAGACTAGCAAAATTCACTTCAACTCTGATCCATTTGTTGGTTTTTTTTTATGGAGTTTAGTTTATATATGCGATCCGGATGATGACCAGACCCGAAATAATGTTGTGTGGTTTTTAATGGAAAATTTTCTGAGGCTTAGTCCATGGAGCGAAGGCTTGGGCCGATAGTAGTGGGAATCTAAAATTACAGTCATTTCATATGATCTGATTGGAAATGTACAAAGCGAAGAGAATGGTGGAGATGATGAAAAAGAGGGGAGACAAATAAACAAGAGACTACTTTATTGTCAAAAAAAATTTGGTACTGTATTTGCAAAATTGAGTAAATTACATATATAATCCTCAAATTATAAACTTGTATCAATTAAATCCTTGAATTTTTTTTATGTCAATTGAGCTTCTGAACTCTCGGATTGTGTCAATTGTGCCTTTTTGTCTGCGTTTGTTAGAGTGTGCCACTCACGTGACAATACGACACAAAAAGTTAGAAGGGCTTAATTAATACAATTAGAGAGTTCGAAAGTTTAATTAACAAAAAAAAAAAAAGTACAAGGGTTTAATTGACATAAAAATCATAATTTGAGGACCATGTGTGTAGTTTACTATAACTCATACATTTTGCCACTTTCATTAGAAAATCTAACGGAGGCAGACAAAAGGGATTAATTGACACAATTGGAGAGTTCAGGGGCTCAATTGACACACAAAAGAAGTTTAGGGGTTTAATTGATACAAGGGGTCATAGTTTGAGAGCCATATTTGTAATTCACTCTCCAAAATTTATAAGTTTTGTAGGCTGAAATTATTACAAGTTTTTGAGTTTGTTTACAACAAAAATAATTTACAACTTTTGAGGTCTTATTACAATTTTTATAGTCCAAGTTACAATTTTGTGGGATTATTTATAATTTTTGAGGGTTACTTCTAAATGATCCTAAAAATTTATGATCTATCGCAAGTAGCCTTCAAAAGTTGTAAATGATTTTTAGGATCAATCTTAGGTGATCCTAAAGTTGTAAATAATCCTCAAAAGTTTTAAATAATTCACAAAAGTTATAAATGACCTTTAAATTTTAGGGGTTTTTCACACTTTTTACGCTAAAAGATTTCAAATTTTCTACTTTGTACCTTCAAAAATTAAATTTTTTATATTGCACACTCAATGTATTAAAAGTGTTACAATGTAGTCCTTCTATTAGCTTCTGTTACTTTTTCTGTCAAAAACCAATCTATTAATAAATTTAATCTTTTAGGGTGTAAAATAAAAATTTTAGAATCTTTTAAGATTCAAAGTGCAATTCACCCCCAAATTTTATAAAAAAAAACCCACAAATAAAGCTTATAAATGTGGGGATTAGATAAATCCTTATACGTGGGTGTTAGATAAAACTCATCTATAATATAAAATATGACATGTTTCAATAAATTTATCCGACGATTTCAAATAGATTCATCTAACGGCCACTAACATATTTCTCAAAATTATTCACATTGCGCCATCCCTTCATGCACGAGATACCCTCAGTAAAACCTATCAAACCAAACAAACTTTATATGAATCCTTTTCTGATTCAAAATACATCTAATACCCTTTCTTTCTTCGGTTTATCTCACATAGAAAGCACAAGGTGGTCAGATCAGGTCGTGCTTGTGGTAGATTGGGCTTGCGCTTACAACGGCTTGGGGTGATTCATTGGTTTAACGAAGGCCCAAGGTGGTCAGGTGGTGCTTGTAGTAGCTTGGGCTATTAACACAAGTAGTAAATAAATAGCATAATCTATTAACACGAGTAATATATAAATGACTAGGGCTAATCTGAATCTGAAAATAAGATGTAAGGTAAGTGAGAAGTGATGAGTTTGGAGGAGGAGGGGGAGAGGGAATTCAATGTGAATAGTTTCGAGAGCGATATTGGTGGCCGTTGGATTAAATGACATTACAAGAAGAAAGAGATTTTTGTTTTTTATGATTTTGGTACGTGTGACCAACATAAATGATGATTTATACAATTGAGCGGAGCGTGAATGATTCATGTAATCAACCTTGAATAGTAGATACAAAGCATTGGTTTTTTTTTTTTTGGTTCAACAGTCAAGAGTGTTCGGGTCAGTTTACACGCACTTCAACTAATCATCTTCTCGATTTGATCAATTATAAGCCATCTATGCCGGTCAAAAGCTTTGTGAGAGTATCAATTGGTTTGATTAGTGATAAGGCTTCCTAGTGGCCCCAAATCTGTATCTAATTTTGGGCTAAGAAAGTCTCAGTCTCTGAATGCACAACTACAACGTTGAATACTATGGTAAACTCCATTGCCACAATTTGCAAAATATATCAACGAAAAATAGTAGGATTAGAAGTGGTAATTTTCGACATGACAGTTTAAAATGATATAAATCCAACAAAAAATCAGTGGGTTATGATGGACTAGTTCTCGTAAACTCTGAAATAAAATGAGTCGCTAACACGAATCATGAATAAATCGGATTAGTATCGGACACAAATAATCAAATTCTAACAAGACAACTAAATGAACTTATGAAGTTTTTCGATCTTTTCATTTTCTTCATTTGGTAGACTGTTATAGTCATGTGGGTAGACTGTTATAATCATGTGTTTTCGGTTCACGATTTTCAGTGTCATCCAACCCACAAGATTAATAACAATGCACGTTAGTACCATGACATAAGATAGACTGCTAATATGTTACTGTTTAAAGATTAACTAATCCTCGATATTAATCCAAAATAACACAACATGACTATATTTTAATCCGAAATTACAACATGCATTCCAATATTCTGATAAAAGATGTCCAGTAGTACTATAGTACAACATTTAATCCAACATTTTATGCAAACATTATTGCCGATTATATATTGAAAGGAGGGACATATATAATGTAACCGAACTAAATAGTCGAGATAAGACTTGATTGAGTTATCGGAGGTATATGTGTCGAGCTCCAATGCCGATTCCGATAGTTGAATGGTACTTAATATTTTTGCCCATCTTTTTCAATCCTCATGATATCCAAGTATGATTTTCCCTCAAGCTTGCGAGAATAATATCCCCTGAAGAAATCTGCAACACCAATCCTTTTGAATAATGCTGGAGTTTGTTCATTGATAAGGCTTGGAGCTGGTCCTAGATCTCCATCTAATTTTGGGCTAAGAAAAGCGGCGATGGAAAGCCTCTCTTTCTTTGAATTCACTACTGCTCGATGCTCAATACTGCGGTAAATTCCATTTGTCACAATCTGCAAAAATATGTGTCAACAAACGTATAACAAATCGATCGGATTACTGTTAACAATGAACAACATGACAAAATAAACCCGCTTAATTGGTATTACAGAAAGAAAATGTTTGTTTTTTTTTTATTCTTTGTTCTGGCATTGTGTGAATCCTTGTATTTTTTCCTTGATTTAACCAGCATTTAGATCAAGTGAATTGCTAGTTTATTGGAGACTTGTAAGTGGTTAGTTTAATTGAAACGAAAAGAGGGTACCGGTCCAAGGTTTCTGATTCACTGTTATCCATATATGCTCACGAACATGACATACTGATTAAACAAATGATGTTAGGGTTAACAAATAGCTGACAAATAGCCAAAATGACCCGACAACATTTGACTGACGTGTAAGTCGAATACTTGATATATTTCTCAATTGAGTCTCGCAATTTTTGCATCAACGACCACCTAAATGTCCAAAAGATTAGGCCATTTGCTTTTATAGATTACCTCCAAGATGTCTCCAATGTTGACTGTAAATGCATTAGGGAGTGGAACAACCGGAATCCAAATTCCATCCTTTTTTATTTGGAGGCCTTCGATTTCACTAACTTGGAGGAGAATGGTGAGGCCGCCGGAATCCGAGTGCGGGGTCAGGCCAATGACCGACTCCGGTTGAGGACATGGAGGATAGTAATTGATCCTCATTCCCTGCTTCCCTTCATCAAATAGCACCCTCGTATCACCAACCTCCATTTTTAAAGCTTTTGCTATAAAGGTAAGGATATTCATGGCAAGGTTTTTTACTTCTATTGAGTAGGCTTCCATGGTATCTCTGCATTCAAAGATAATTGTTTTCTTAGAGGTATTAAAACATTGTTCATATGAAAAGACACCAATATCTAAACACAAACACCTCTGATGTGAATTAAAGCAGCGAAAAACGCAAGAAAAATCTGAAATGCTAACCGAACGCCCAACAAATATTGAAAATTAGAGTAACATAGTTTGAATGGATTCAAATTCCCACTTGTATATTTTTTTTTTCAATTCTCTTCTCGGTTGATTATCTATTATTAATGAGTGAAAGACTTATTAAATACAAAAAGTCCCACTTGAATGCATGTTGGTTGACAAGAGTAAAAAATTAAAGAGAATCTTACTTAGTAGGGGCTCATTATAAAAGTATGACAAAACTAGGATTCAAGTATTCAACCATCAGTGTACCTCCAATCACTCACCCAACAATTGACAAGCGATGATGCAATAGATAGAACATAAAGAAAAAGAAAAACATTAGCAAGATTTATTGGAAAACCCCTCTAACAAAAGGGAAAAAAACCTGAGCAACACTCCAAACTGCCCAATTATTAACTTGAAAGCAATAATGTTTTATAGTTTAAAAAATTGGAGATTAATCCATTTTTTACAGTTGAAAGTTTTTGGGTGTCGAATCAAGTTGTAATTATTTTAGATTAAGTTATCGTAAAATGAGATTGATGGTATTAATTATATATAATATTTTAAGATCGATACTAATTATTTTTGCTGGAACTTAACCATTGGAATGGTTTATTATGAGAAAAAAAAAGTGGTAAGTTTGATTCCATAATGACAGCACCCAACTCTTACCTCAATGTCGTAATTGACCTACCTGCTGGAAGTGAGTGGGTCACAAAGGAGACCTTCAGAGGTTGATTTTCCAACCATGGACTGAACAATCATTGCACAAAGAGAGAGAGAGAGTAGGATTGATAATTGAGCTACTCAGGTTCGACTTAGATAAGATTCGACTCAAATTCAGCTTTTGTTTAAATCATATTTTAGACTCCTCTAAAAAACGAGTCTAAAAAGACTAGACTCAAGATAGCAAAACTCGACTTGTTTATATGTAAAATAATCGAACTATTCGAGTTCGGCTCGAGTACAACTTGTTTTGGGCTTGACTCAGGTTCGGATCATTTTCTAAACATGTTGAGCTTGAAATTTTTTTAGACCCATTTAAAAAAATGAGCTCAATAGACCAGGCTCGATTATCGGGGGAGAGAGGGAGAGAGAGTTCTGACCTGAAAGGAGCAGGGAACTTGGGTAATAAGTGGGGTTTCCTTAAGTAGGTTGGAAGGGTGACAATGTAGAACATATCTGCCCAATCAAGCTTTTGTTCCTCAGATACAACAAAGGCCTGTCCAAATCCCTCTATGTCTCCTGGTTCTTGCCCAAACTTCTTCTTCTCCTCTACTGGAAGTTTGAAAAACTCCTGAATCTCAATCTTCAATTTGTCCACCAATGAAGAGCTCACTTCATGATTTATCAGCTGCAATATAATAATAATATATGTCTTTTCTCTTAGTTTTGTTGATCCAATATAACCCTTCATTCAAAAAATTAAGTAGAAAAAGAGCTAGAAGAATAAAGGCACCAAATTTGTGAAATAAATAGATACAGATCCAGAATAATTTTGCCTTAATCACAAACACTATTGAAAAAACAATGATCTACAAAGTTGTGAAATGAGTTTAAATTGATTTGATTTGCAAAAATCGGACCTCGACCATTGTCAACTGCTGATCATCTAAGCGATACATCACAGTTTGAGTATAATAATCTAACTCTTTAGAATAAGAGTAAAATTATTTATCTTGTACCTCTCTCAGAAGTTAAACTCTTTTGTAGGCATAAGTCTTGTGTCCCAGATTTTATTTTTCTAATTAATGTGTAGTTGGATATGCATTGGATACAACCGGATAAGTCTCGCTATTATAAATATATCTCAAGGATGTAATTCATATATAAAACTGTTTTGGAGTAGGTGGTAGGTAGATATATGAGTACCTGAAAGAAACCCCATTCCTTGCATGCATGGTGTAGCTTTTCAAGCTCTAAATCTTTGGAATCTCCAGAAAGCAAGCTCTGCAAGTCGATGATGGGGACCTGAGGTAAGGAGGAGTTATCAGATATGATCGGATGATCTTGAACGGGACGTACATATCGCGGCGGAACGGTGCCTAACTGTTCCCTAGCCAGCTCTTGAACAGAAGGCACCTCAAGAGAGCCCCCTAGCCTTATTGACTTTGGGTCCATGGAAGCCAATCTCTCTCTCTCTCACACACACATGTAATCTGTTGTTAAATAGCCATAACAATGGAAAGGCACCTTATGGTAAGTATGATGCTTATTATTTTCATGGTAGGCCAGAAAATACCATCAGCAGACAGAAAAAAAATTGGATGTAACGGTTACACCGTTACGATAATATCGTTTAATCATCCAATGATAGGATGACAAGTGTGTAAGTGGATCCCACATGAATAATTATTACATAATATAGATAAATAGTTATTTAATTATGTAAGATTCACTTGTCCACTTATTATCCTATTATCGAATGATTAGCGTGATGATATGGTGTAACTATCACACTCAATATTTTTTCCACCATATGAATATTAAGTCCACATTGCTTTACTCACAATACTTTAAAGTGGGAAAATACTTTCAGTCCCCTCAAGCAGGGGCGGAGCCAGAAAATTATATCTGGGTGGGCATCAAACATTTTAGTCGGGTTTTAATTTTTTTTTCTCAAAATTTATAAAAGTAAGATAATAAATTTAATTTTTTGATTATGCTACTTTTAATACTTCAAAATTTCCTTAAAGACAAAATGCCAAAATTAGGAAAGCATAGTGTATAAACTTAAAACAAAATAAAACATTAATTATAAGCCTTTTGTTAAAAATAATTCATGCCATTTGAAAGCATTTAGCCTCACCGAATTTTCTCAATGTAGACATTCAAAATCAAGCACCCAACAATATTCACATTTGATTAAGAATCAAACAATAAAATATTGAAGATGGAAGAAAAATATTATCGAATTATATCATTGTAATTGAATGAAGATATTTGTAATTTCAAGAATCAAAGAGACCCCTGATTGGTTACTTGCTAACCGGTAATGGAAAACAGTAGGATTTGGCAGTTAACCTCTACGCAAAAAAGTTGGAACGCCTACTCAAAAAAATTAAAACTCCACCCCCCAAAAGTTAGAATCTTTTAAGAGATTCTTAGAAGAGATCCGTTGCAACGGTGATGTTATCCTTAGAAGAGATCCGTTGCTTTACGCTTCATCCCTCCTCCTCCTGTGGCCCAAATTGCTCATTTGGAGGATTGTTGATCAGGTTGTAGAAATAACTTAGCTGGGCTAATATGAGCACTTCTTTGCAAGTTGATAAAGTCTGTAACATGAAAAAGGTCATACCACTAACCTAAATACGACAAGACTGAGAATGACACGAACTTTAAATTAATCATAGGAGGAGTGGACGATTTCTTGTTATAAAACAAGAGCATCTAAGTCTGCCCGGCAACAAAATCTTCCACCGTAATACCTTCCTACTAGGCCACGTTTGAGATTTCATTTGACTGTGTTTGGGACTTGAAAATCAATAAGAAATTAAATACAGCACCAAAAAAAAAAAATGGGTACCATATCATTTATCTTTTTTTTTTTTTTTGTAAAAATGCTACACACGACACTTTTTTATATCATTTTTGTGCATCACCTCAATATAAATCATTAAATTAGTATGTCTTACAAAGTTTATTAAATTTCCGATGACTCTAATTGTATCACATAGGTGGTGTAAGATAAGTGGTGCACAAAGGTGGTGTCAGCAACCGGTAATGGATCAAGGAGACCCTTGATTGGTTACTTGCTAACCGGTAATGGAAAACAGTAGGATTTGGCAGTTAACCTCCATGCAAAAAAGTTGGAACGCCTACCCAAAAAAGTTAAAACTCCATCTCCCAAAAGTTAAAATCTTTACTCAAAAAAAGTGAAATCTCTACCCAAAAAAGTTAGAACCACTCTCCCAAAAGTTGAAATATCTACCCAAAAAAGTTTGAACCCCTCCCTAAGAGTGGGAACCTTTGCCCAAAATAAATTAGAACCCTACCCAAAAAATTTAGAACCCCTCCCCCAAGAATTGGAACCTTTACCATAAAAAGGTGGAACCCCCTACTTAAAAAGTTGGAATCCCCCCAACTGTTAGAACCTATCCCCCAAGAGTTGGAACCTCCAAGAAAGATGGAACCCCTCCCCTCAAATATTATAACATCTATCCAAAAAAATTGGAACTCCTACCAAAAAAAAGTTGAATCCCTCCCCCCAAGAATTGAAATCTCTACCAAAAAGTTTGAATCCCTACCCAAAAAAGTTGGAACCCTCACCAAAAAAAATTGGAACCCCTCATCTAAAGAATTGGAACCTCTATCCAAAAAAGTTGAAACCTCTATTGAAACTCAAAAAAGTTGGAACCCCTTCCCCAACAGTTAGAACTCACAAAAAAAGTTATAATTCAATTAAAAAAAGTTGAAACTCTATCCCAAAAAAATTATCACCCTATCCAAAATAGTTAAAATCTCACCATTTTTTTTTATCATTAAAAAAAAAATATCACTATAAAAGTCAGAACCCTCCCCCAGAACTCATCTTAAAAAGTTATAACTCAATTTTAAAAAGTTGGAACCCCTACCCAAAAAAGTTGGAACCCACCACAAAAAAGTTCGAACCCCTACTGAAAAAATTGGAACCTCTACTGAAAAAGTTATAATTAAATTCAAAAAAAGTTGAAACCTCAAACAAAAATTGAAACCCAAAGAGTTGGAACCTGTACACAACAGTTAGAACCAACTCAAAAAAGTTATAACTCAATTAAAAAAAGTGAAACGTGAGCCAAAAATGTAAACTAATGCATAAAAGTTGAAACTCTATTTTAAAAAGTTCAAACCACCCAAAAAAAATATAAACGAATCCTAAAAAATTAAACCTCATACCAAAAGCTTATAACTCAATCCAAAATGGTTGAAATCTGACTAAAACAGTTGTAACCTAGCTAATCCGAGTCACCCCAAAAAATAGGAACCCAATCAAAAAAAAGTTATAACTTTGACCCAAATAGTTGGAAGTATTATTTTCAATTCTTTTAAGTATTTGATTTTATTAATTATTTATTTGTTGTTCATAAAAAATGAGACTATTTAAAAAATATTGAATATTTTTGGACAGTAATTTTTTTTGATTATTTAAGGGATAAAAATGTGATATTAACCCCTGATCGGCCTTGCATTTCTTCGGCCGGTCTTAATTCTTTACATGTAAATTACACTTACACACCATAAATTATAATATATTATTTTTCTTATTTTCTAGTGAATATTGTGGTCCACAAATCACAAAAACCTTATCTTCTTCATCCACCCACTTTCTCGTCCAAACTATTTTTTACTTCTCTTACCTTCCCTCCATCTCTTTTTCCGCCCAAACCATTTTTCACTTATCTTGCCTTCCCTCCATCTCTTCTACTGTACATCCCTTCTCCCTTTAACCATTCAAAAGTATTTGTTTGGATTAGAATTTGGTGAATGTTGCCCTAATTATAAACATTCATGGTAAATTTGACAAAAAATAATTTTATTTTACCCCTAAATTATGAATTTTTTTTTACTTTGCCCCCAAAACATTGGAAATTTTCATCCCAAAAAGACAACGGTCCCTTGTATTTAAAACTATGTGAAATAATTGAAGTAGTTGAGGAAATAAAATAAAAAATTAATAGTTCAAGGAGCATGGCAAAATAGAGTCCAAAGTTAAAGTAATCAAAGCGTAATTTATCTTACAATTAATTTTTTATAGGACAAATTATTTTTATTTTAGACAAATTATGGGGTGATATGATGTGACATTTCTTTAATCATGATGTGACATTTTACAAGGTGGTGACGTGACAATGGTGAGGTTATCCTTAAAAGAGATCCGTTGCTTTACTCTTCGTCCCTCCTCCTCTTGTGGCCCAAATTGCTCATTTGGAGGATTGTTGATCAGGTTGTGCAAATGACTCAGCTGGGCTGATAGGACCACTTCTTTGCAAGTTCATAAAGTCTGTAACATGAAAAAGGACATACCACTAACCTAAATATGACAAGACTGAGACTGACACGAACTTTAAATTAATCATAGGAGGAGTGGACGATTTCTTGTTACAAAACAAGAGCATCTAAGTCTGCCCGGCAACAAAATCTTCCACCGTAATACCTTCCTACTAGGCCACGTTTGAGATTTCATTTGACTGTGTTTGGGACTTGAAAATCAATAAGAAATTAAATACAGCACCAAAAAAAAAAAAAATGGGTACCATATCATTTATCTTTTTTTTTTTTTTTGTAAAAATGCTACACACGACACTTTTTTATATCATTTTTGTGCATCACCTCAATATAAATCATTAAATTAGTATGTCTTACAAAGTTTATTAAATTTCCGATGACTCTAATTGTATCACATAGGTGGTGTAAGATAAGTGGTGCACAAAGGTGGTGTCAGCAACATTATTCTTGTTTTAGTATTTATATGATATTTTTGATGAAGTTTATTTATTTTTGAGATGAATATACTTTTTGGGCTCACTTATCATTTTTTTGGAATAAATTTTACTACGTTTTAAAGTAATTTTTACTTATTGGTATGATACCAAATTTTACTTTTCAATAGGACATTTTTTTACAAACAATAATGATCACCATCTACAAAAAAAGAAAAAATGATTTTTTTTTTATAGAATAATATTACATGAACTTAGAAAATAGACTTAATATTTGTTGATTTTGCACAAAACATTCCAAATTTTTGGCCTTGTTATCATATTCTACCACCGGAAAATTGCATAGTATAACATTTATATGAACAGGCTGTCATGAAGATTAACACATTAGACATCTATTTGTAATAGATTTGTTCTATATTCCCATATTGAATTCCTTTTTCTTATTTGTTTATTGGCTTTCCTTGCAACTCATATAACTAATCCGACCCTACAATACGTCATCTATTTCGGTTCAGAAATTTGTCTCTTCAAAACAAATTTCCAATCAGGAATCACAACACAAACGGACAACCAAACAGAAATAAAACGGTGAACCACATTACAACATTTTTATTTTTTGGAGGGGATAATGTGAAAAAACAAATCATTCGGGGGGACAAATTAAAGATTTTAATATCTTTCATTGGACAAAATGGGATTGACCCAAATTTATATCTCCAACATGGATAGCTGGCCTCTTTCTCAATCTATTGTCACCCTCCCAACTCAAATTCTCATGAAATCAAG